CCTTTTTAACATACAGCTGGTGTTCCCTAAGTCGTGAGAACACAACCCTCAAATGATCAATGTGATCATCTAACATTTCACTATAGATTACAATGTCATCTAAGTAACAACCACAAAGACATCAATGTAATCGTAAAAAACAGCATTCATTAGATTACAGAAAGTTGTCGGGCATTAGTGAGCCCAAACGGCATTACAAGAAATTCAAAAGAACCATAACGCACACACGCAGTCTTTGGCTCATCCCCTTCTGCAATTCTAACCTACCAATATCCAATCCTAAGATTCAACTTTGTGTAGAAAGTGGCCTTGGACAGTCTGTCGAACAGATCAACAACATTCAGAATAGGGTACTTGTTTTTGATAGTCACCTTGTTCAAGGCACAATAATCGATGCACATGCGCAACGATCCATCTTGCTTTTTCTGGAACAGAACAGGGGCTCTGTATAGTGCCTTAGATGGCTTCATGCTGCTAGAATCTAGCAACTCGTTCAATTGCTTCCTCAATTCTGTCAATTCTATTGGCGACATTCGGTAAGGGCACGGGTTGGAGGCTTTGCATCAGGCTCCAGTTCTATCTTGTGGTCAATTGCACGTCTGGGTGGAAGATTCTTGGGGAGTTCAGGGGGGCATAACATCAGCAAACTCGACCAGTACATCTGCCATAGTATCAGGGACTTCAATCAGCACATCTGGTTTGATCTCTACCAAGGCTGCGAGGTATGTCATCTCGCCCTTCTTCAACCCAGCATTTACTTGCATAGCGGACAACATTCCCACCTTCTGCTTTCCATCTTTCTTGCTTTGGTCTGCCATGACTGTAGGCACAAAGCAGGGTGCTTTCTCATCTGTGGATCAGCACTCCGTTCAGATGTGGCATCAGTGCCACTTTCGGTGTAACAAAGAATTCATTCCCTAGGATGACATCAAAGTCATCCAAGGGCACAACTGTCAAACTCATTTGGCCTTCCCACAGACCCACCTTTAGGCGTATTTCTCCTATATCACGTATTGGCATTGCTTCAGAATTTACTGCCTTGAGTTTGCTTGAATTCTCTGACAATTTCAGGCCAAACTTTCCCACCTCTCTCTGGGTAACAAAGTTGTGGGTGGCTCCAGTATCCACCATGGCCTGAACTTCCTTGCCATTCACCTAGCCCTGAACAAACATGAGGCCTTTACGGGGTTGCTGAACTTTGCTCACAGTAATTGCGTTTAGCAATTGGAGAGGGTTGACTTGGGTAGGACAGTCATCATCACTGTCATTCTCACTTGCAGCAACAAGGGCACTTAACTTCTCCCTCTTGGGGCAGTCTTTGACACGATGGGGGCCACTGTAGAGAAAACAACCAGAATCAAAAGTTTTCTTCTTCTGGCTGTTGTCTGGCTTGTTAAAGTCAGCAACGTTCTTCTTTTTCTTCCAATCCGCTTTCTTTGCGTCTTTAGAAATGCCAGTCTTATCTTTTCTGCCGCCACCATCCTTCTTCTTTTTCTCAGGAGGACCTTGGTTGTCACCCATTTTGAAGTCAACAAGGCCATCTGCTGCAGAAATGGCAGTGGGCAGATCACATATCCCCTGCCTTCGCAGTTCAGCCTGTGCCCAACCTTGTAGTCTGGACATAAAGTTGAAGAGTTTGTCTTCCTCTGACATATTCTTGATGTCCAACATCAATGAATTAAACTCCTTCACGTAATCACGAACTGTTCCAGTGTGCTTCAACTTTTTGAGTGAGTCCCTAGCAATCCAAGTTGTATTGCTAGGGAGGAATTGATCCTTCAATTCCTTTTTCAGGGTCTCCCACGTCTCGATCTTTAGACGACTAGCAGAGGCATCGTCCACATTCCGAGTCCTCCACCACAATTTAACATCACCAGATAAATACATACTGGTGATTGTTACTTTCTCTCCATCAGGCACATAGGCTGCCTTAAAGTACTGCTTCATGTCCTAGAGGAAAATCTCTAGATCCTTAGCACTTCGGGTGCCTCCGAAGGCCTTTGGTTCAGGGACTTTAATCTTTGAAGATGTCACACCCACAGTAGGACAAGAATTCATGGCCCTCTTCACCAGGGACACTTCATCTTCAAGATCCTTCAAATTCATTTTGACAGCGTCTGTGAGAGACATGATATCTTCCATCATTGTTACAATCTTTGCATTGGTGTCAGACACATAACTATCAAAAGCCATATGTAATCTCACAATCTGAATAGCGTGCTGTTCCATCTGCACAGCCACGCTAGTTGCACCATCTGTCTGAGGGGCGCCCAGAAAATCTTCGAGACAGGCATTACGTTCTCGTAATTCAGTAGCGTTTCCACCAACAATGGTCGCAAACTGAAGCTCTGATACCAATTGTCATGGGGTTAAATTTTTCACCAAATTTCTGCCTCGTGATGACACTAAGATCCAACACTTAGTCTCAGCCAAACACTTAGAATGTACACAAAATGCACATAGAATAGAGAATGGACAGTAAGTAAACACACAGGCAAGGCACACATAATTTACAGGTAACAGCCAAACCTTTTTTTCTCAATAAAGTATAAGGAACTCAACCTTGGGATCTGTTTACAAAAACGTGTCAATTCTCTGTTGCACTACAGACCCCAAACACCCTATTTATAATATTCAGGGTGGCAGTTACAAGCCCAACTGCCTAGGCACATGTCTGTAATTCAAATGCTACTAGAGGTCTACTATGATTGGATAACAGGGAAGTTATAACTGGTGTCTGCATGCTTGTCTAAATCTGACAGAGATCCCACATGTAATGCACTTGCCAGAAAACTGTCCTGAACTGCTACCATCTGCAGAGCACATGCCCAACTTCCTCACATGTTGTGCATGTGTCAAGAGCCCTTAACATCCGAATTGCATTACATTCATGCCTAACCATGACCCAACCCATGGCTCATTATTCAAGCTAGCATCGCCCCACAATTCAAGTCGCCCACTTCCTTGCTTGCATGCTGACTTGTGCCCATGTGCATGAACTGCCTCCCTTAGTCATGCATGGGGCTTTTGTCATTTTGGCTAAGGCATGAGTGTTTATGGGCGAGACTATTCGATGCCAAATACTGCCAATGGCTAAGGGGGTAACAACTGTCTACTACAACCATCATTGCCTTCCACTACCGCCATTGCCGCCCACTATCACTCTATTCTTTTTCACTCATTTATGTTTGTGATTTAATTTTGGGTGTGAATACAAATATATTTATGATTAATAAATTTTTTTTATGATAGACAATAACTATATATAAAAAATATAGGATAAGATATAGAATAAAGAGAAAATTTTAGTTACACCCATTCTAGTTTATTTTATATTCAAGGATTCCCCCCCTCCCCTCCCCTCCCCTCCAAAAATTAAAAAAAAAAAACTATATATATTCAAGGACACCCCCTCTATTTTTTAAATCTTCATTGTGACCCCTATTAGATTAAAGGACTTAACTAGAATATAATTTTACTAAATTGCCCACAATGTATTTTAGGAAAAACTTCATCTGAACTTCGTCTAGATAGATATATCTTCAATGAGTTTTATTTTATGAATTTTTTCACGTATTAAAATTTAAGATGATTAAAATTGAATTCGAGCCAATTAAAATTCATTTTTAATTGGTATGAATCAAATTTTAATCAACTTGCATTGAATTTTAATTGGTCCAAATTTTGATACATAAAAAATATAAATTTTAATCGACTGAAATTTTAATATGTAAAGAATAATTGGCACAAATTTTAATAAGTAAAAAAACATTAATTTTAATCTGCTCAATTCGAATTTTAATCGGCGCTAACAACTCAAGTTGAGCTCAAATTGGATTGAATTTATTAAATAATAAGCTTGAATTTTAATACATAAAAAAAAATTTAATTAGCTCAAATCGAATTTTAATCGTTTCAAATTTTAATATGTAGAACAATAAATTTTTATATGTAAAAAAATAAATATTAATCAACTCAAATTTTATGTAGAAATATTATTTATGAAGTGACAATTTTAGTATTTATGATTAATTTTTTTGTTAGAAATGGTGGTTTAGCGACAGAGGTGTCAGTAATGTTTAATTATAAACTAAAAAGAATATTAGTGATATTTTAGATAATAGAGGAGATGTCTTTAAAAATAGGGTTAATTGCAAGTTGCACCCTGAAAGATAGTTGAAATCTCAATTTGTACTCTCAAAGATAAATTTTTTTATCAATGTGCACCCCTAAAGATAAAAATCTCAATTTGCACCCTCAAAAATAGAAATTTGTATCAATGTGCACCTAAAACTAAATTGATAAATTATATCTAGATTCTCTCACATTTGTCACTTGATCATTTGAACCCCTTCACATTTAGAATATTACTCTTACATCTCATAACATTTGTGCACATGTAACACGTAACCCCCTTTCATTGATATCTGTTAATATAACTGTTAAAAAATATAATTTAATCATAATAAAAAATTATAATGTCCACTAGTAAACTTGATTTTGAACTTTAGAGTATATCGAACCCACAAAATAAAGCGTAATATGAAATTATAATTTTTTATTAGGATAAAATCATATTTTTTAACTCTTATATTAACAAATATCAATGAAAGGGGGTTACGTGTTACACGTGTACAAACATCATGAGATGTAGGAGTAATATTCTAAATGAGAAGGGGTCCAAATTATTAAGAGACAAACATAAGGGGATTTAGGTATAATTTATCAATTTAATTTTAGGTGCACATTAATACAAATTTCTATATTTGAGGGTACAAATTGAGATTTTTATCTTTGAGGGTGCACATTGATACAAATTTTTATTTTTGAGGATGTAAATTGAGATTTTTGATCTTTGGGGGTACAAATTAAGATTCTCACTATCTTTTGGGGTACAACTTACAATTAACCCTTAAAAATATAATAAATTAGGACGAGTGTTTCCTTACGTAGATTTTCCTAACCACAGTTTCATTAGTAGACACATGTTCTTCGTCTATCTTATTCCTTTGCCGTTTATCCCTATCCACATTAAAGCCTCAACTGCCCCACATTTCCAACCCATCACTGAAGGAGGGTTTTTGACAACTAAAAATTCCGAATCCTTTCATTTTCCTAACCTTTTCTGTCCAGCCAAACAAAGCCTGTAATTTCTTGTTCTGTTGCCATTTCTACCGACAGTTAATTTCTTATCTGGGGAAAAATGGCCGACGAATCAAATTCCGTATGTTTGAATGAGGATCCGAACGTTGAGTCAAACAATAAACGCGACATCGATTTCAATGAAGAGCATTCGGTTTCGAAGAAGTTGAAATCCGATGGCCAAGAAGAGAACAAACCGCAGGTTTTGGACGAGGGGATTGTAAAGGAGAGTGAGGTGTGCAACGGTGATGGTAGTTCGGAGCGTAAGGGTTTGGCGCATAATGATAGGAGTGAGGTGAATTTTGTGATTGAAGCCGATGTAGCAGAAGATAAGGGTTCGAGGCACACAATGGAGGATGCTTGGGCCGTGCTTCCCGATGCCAGCTTGGAATTTCCTGGAAAACTGAGGTCCCCAATCCCCACAGTAATTTTCTATATATGATTCTTGCTATTTTTTTTTTTTTAAACAATTTTTTGAGATACAATGATAGTAGTGTGTACTTACCCCCCCCCCCCCCCCCCCCCATACCTCCAAACAAAAAAAAAACAAACAACAAAAAAAATGATCTGGAAGGGAGAGTTGGACTGCGTGCTGATTTAAGCTTTTGGTCTTATTTGGACATTGTGGGTGCTTTTGATTCAGAGTTGCCCCCTTGCAATTGTTAGTTCAAGCATTTTCCATTGTGCCAGGCGATGACCTAGTACTATCTATAGAGGCTGAAAATGCATCAGTATGGATAAATTTGGTTTGCGAATTTATTTTGGTTTATTGTGACTTTGAACTGTTATGTAGACGGTGCTGCATTTAAATATATTTTTTATGGACATGTTGTGGAATTTGTAATAACTCCCTTTCAAAGCAAATTTGGGGCTGAAAATGACCCTGTAATAGCATATTTGTACAATTTCCAGTTGTTCAGAAATCAGGTGGAATTTATTAGCCTTAGTGCTTTTATGTAATATTCCAAAGCATATAGTCAATCGCCTAGAATGGGACCATTTGGCAAAAATAGAAAGGGAGTGGACCACCATAACTAAGGTTTTGGCAACAAATTTGAAGAGGCAGCAGCCACTTTCTGTAGTGGCTAATTCATGGTGATGGATATCTGTCCTTCAGTGCATGTAACATATAATAAAGCCTTTCAATCTCCATGGGATGTTTAAGCGTGTGCCAATTGATTATCCATTGTTTGAAATGACTTCAGAGGCTATTTTCTCCCATGGAATGATGATTTAATTGTTAGGGTTGGTCCCTGCGCTCAGCCACATTATCATGTTTGGTCCTAAATCCACTTGTCTTTGAATGTATAGGAACTTTGTTTTGGAAAATGTAATTAAGAATCAATATGAATGCAAGCACATGAAATATGCTGCACCTGTTGTTCAGTTCATCCTAAATTCCTGTTTTGCTGAACCTCAAGAAACTTAATTCTAATTTTGCTTTCTTTGTTCTTTTGAGACAGATGTGCTCATTATTCAATTTATGATGGGCATGGAGGTCGTCTAGCTGCCGAGTTTGCGCAGAAGCATTTACATGCAAATGTTCTTTCGGCAGGCTTACCACGTGAGTTGGTGTGTTTGCTTGGTCTTATTTGATACATGTTTAAGCATTCAGATTGGATTGACATGTTCATCTAGATTGAAAAATACTTTCTTTTAGTTTTGTTATTTCACTTGTTCTATTCTTGGCTTCAAATTCACCAAAATATTTTAAGGAGTTGAATAATATTCTTATACCGATAAGGCCTCCCAAAAGGATTAATGTATTGTTAGAGAATAAAATATCTTTATGATAATAGAGGAAACACATGAAGATTTGGTTTCTTGGATTTTTTCCCCCAACACTACGACAATGTGGGTTGATTAGTAGTGCAAGTGGGCAAGTACTTATTGTGTTTGTAACAAGGGCACGTACACCTTGGGACTCATTTATGTACATGTATATGTCCAAATTCGTACCTGTAAACACGATGACTCCATTTCTAATGTGCTCTAACAAGACTTGGAATCTTCTTTTTGTGCACCAACTTAAGTCCTCTGTATGAAGTTATTCTTGCCTTTGTTTTTGTTGATTTTTTTTTTCCAAAATTGGCTGCCTTTGTTTTTGTACTTGTTTTCATAACTTTATATCGCTTTGGATTTTATGTGACTCACAATAATTAGTTCATAGTATTTTTTAGTTTCGCCCTTGTTTTCCAAGATTCAATTCTCATTGATTTGTTTATGGCAATTGTAGTTGGATGTAAAAGCTGCCAAAAGGGCAATACTTGATGGTATGTTCACTTTTCTTACTTGCCTTGACTATCTAACTTGCATTAAGTGCTAATTGCTTCAAGTTCTTATATCAACCGTGCCAAATTAATGAAATGTTTCTATCTGCTTTCTTTAAAATCAGGTTTTCGTAGAACTGATGAGTCTCTTCTTCAAGAAAGCGCCGCAGGTATTGCTAGGATCACTTTATTTTAAGTTTTAATTGCTGTTTGCATTTTACGAATGTCTGCTCCATTGATGCCATATCTATATAATTTGTATTTTTTTTAATCTTAAATTGTCATGTTTAGGATAGTTAAGAATATGTTGTAATAGTAAAACGAACTTATAGTCATTGATTAGACCATGGCTACTCGATCAATTATACAATGATGTAAAGAGTTTAAGGGTTTAAGGGCCATACTGGTGCTTATAATTTTTGGTCAATGAACTGAACCTTTACTGCTCTGTTGAATAATTACATCTGGTGGCTACTTGATCAATTATACAATGATGTAAAGAGTTTAAGGGTTTAAGGGCCATACTGGTGCTTATAATTTTTGTTCAATGTACAGAACCTTTACTGCTCTGTTGAATAATCACATCTGGAAATGTAATTTATATGGTCAAACATTTTAAGCGTTTTGATTTGGGGTGAATAGGCTTTGAATTATGTTTAAAAGACTGAAATGAAATTGTCAGGTCTTAAACCATTTTCATGAGATGTACGATAAAAAAATTTAGTTTCATGTCATAGTTCTTTCGAACATATTCAGGAGATGTCCTATATTGCCTTTTTTTAGTGGGCATATATTTTTGCTTTAACTTTCTACCTGTGCATAATTAATATGTTTAGAAACTTCTTTAAATGGTTATTTTCCCCTTTTCCTTACTGGATTATAAGTTCTAGAAAAGATACGCTTTTGTTTTCTCAAGCTTCACTTAAGCATTTCATTTACCTGTTGGTTTTCGTACAATTTTATTAGGGGGATGGCAGGATGGTGCTACAGCTGTATGTGTTTGGGTATTGGGCCAAACTGTAAGTTTTTGCACTGTTTCCTTTGTTATATTTCTGAGATAAGGAATTTATTTTTCAAAATAGTGAATCTTATAGTGGTTTTCTTGTCAAGAAATTCAACCCTAATGAATGAGGCATAGCTGTAGAGTATGAAGAACTTTTACTATTTATTTGATTATTTCCAAATCCTACTAGTATGTTAAGTTATCTGTAGGGTGATAAGTTTAGGATTAATTTTAGAAAGAAACGTGACTTGAAGAATTGTTTGATGAGAAAGAGAATTGCTAAACTTGCACCCTATACAAAACATCTATATAATAAATTAGATAGGTGTTTGAACTTATGGGGGATATATTTTTCCCCCAAAATTTTACACACCCAATATACACTTTCCCCCCAAATTTCAAAAACCCATCACACATCCTCCACAACACATACATACATACACTCCAACACACATTCCAATGCATACACAATGTCATAATCCAGTATACACTGACTTAAGTCACGGGGTATCGCTAGTATGTATATGTATCATAACTGTTGAATTATAAATACCTAAGTTACACCCTCTCCAACTCCATAAGCTTTTGGAGTAGATGGTTGTTTCTCAATAACAAAGAAGAAAGACTACTATATCCTTGAGTAGTACACTTTTACCAAATGAAAAAAAATAATATATTAGCATACTCCTTGACACACTTCCCCTTATGCTAGATTAAAAATGTCCTAAAATCCGTGCTTGGAGGAAACTATTGTCAGACGACTACGACTTGAAGCTTTAGTGAACTTATTAGTAAGTTTATCTTTAAATTTTACAAATAGGATAACAATGTTTGCATTTAGAATCTTATCTTGAATCAAATAATAATCATGAGACATTGGGTGACAGTCTTGTGAAGCACAACTTGGTTCTCATAACTGGTTAGGTGTTTGAACATAGAAGCCAATTCTTGTGTAAAGTGTCGTAATCGTAACCATGTCAACTCACTTGCACTGTGTGTCATTGTCTATACTCAGCTTTTACATTTGATTGAACTACCATAGTGTGTTTTTTGCTTTACAATGGAACTAAATTACCTTTAAGAAAGTAAAATAGCTAGATTCGAGCTTTGATTGGAGGGCGAGTCAACCCAGTCAATATCTTTAAAAACCCTCCACTCTAGTAGGTCCACTGAATTAATGTAGTAGTCCAAATCCAATGGCCTGTTTAAGGTATTAAGGGATACGGATAGCTACCTCCCGTAGTAATATAGATGCACCCATAAACTAACTCAACCCTTACTATATGTGCAATTTGCAGCTGAGTAATTGTGATTTAATTGCCCTACTAACCTGTGATACCTATCTGGATTTCAAATTGTGCACCATCCAATAATAGTGTTCGATTCGGATCCATAGAAACATTAAGTAGTTTGCTCTTAATAAATCTGTTTTTTTAGCATATCATGTGCACTTTTATTTTAAGACAAACTTACATTATTATTAGACTTCGCAACTTGGATACCGTAAAAACGCCCAAGTTTGCTTAAGTTTTTAGGATGAACTTGATGCTATAGAGATACTTTTAACTTAGAGATGCCTTCATAACCATCTACTGCATTCGGTGTATCATCGTTAGGAATGGAATACAAAGTGGTCTATCTAATATTTAGAGGGACCAAGAATCAAAATATCGTTTTGAAACGGTCGAAACATCCGAAATATTTTCGTTTTCAAAGAGACCGAAATGAATCAGTGAAGAATCAAAATTCTAATATTTCGAGGTGTTCAATAATGTTTTGAAATGTTTTATTATATTTCAATGCATTTGCACAATTATTTTGGAATGTTTCAAGGTATTTCAAGATATTTTTTGATATATTTCGACCAATTATTTTTATTTTTATTCTTAAAAAATAGTTCTTAAATTTTTATTTCATTGCCATCTATTATTTTCCCACCCTTGTCACCTCTGCCAACCCCGTTATCACCATCTTCATCACCATCACCATCTTCTCCAGTAGTTCTGTTGTGGGTGTGCTCTCTTCGACCATCTGCTAATATGCCTCTTCTGTACTCTTCACTATTTTCCGATCTAAGTTCCCTTGTTGTTTCAAACTCATTATCTATTGCACTTTGCAAAAGCACTCGATCTTGTATCACTAATCACTTTATTAGTCATTATGTTGCTTATGATGCATTATCCCATGCTTTCTCCAGTTTTTACCTCAGCAATCTGCTATCTCTATTCCTAAGATATTACAAGAAGCATTATCTGATCTGGATTAAAAAAAAGTTATGAAGGTTGAGATAGATATCTTACATTATAAGAGGACTTGAGATCCTGTGGCTTTACCTCAGGGTAAAAAGAATGTTGATTGTTGGTGGGTATATATTATAAAATTTCATCTAGATGGTTCAGTTGATTGTCTAAACGCTTGGTTTATTGCTAAATAATTTACTCAAACCTATGGTAATGATTATGAAGAGATTGTTAAGGTTTGCTTTGTTCGTGAATTGATTTCTTTAATTGCTAATTTTGATTGACCTTTATTTCAGTTGGATGTTAAAAATATTTTTTTACATGGTGACTTGGTTGAGGAGGTTTATATGGAACAACCACCTGAGTTTGTTGATAAGGGGAGTGTCGTGGGAGTGTGTGTCGCTTGCAGAAGTCCCAATATGGTCTAAAGCAATCACTGAGAACATGATTTGGTAAATTTTTTGAGGCAATTTTAGATTTGGTATCGCTAAGTGTCAAACAGATCACTCGATATTTAGCCAACATGCTAAGGCAGGTTACATTATATTTGTTGTTTATGTGGATGATATTGTTATTACTGATATTCATGTGGTATTGCAAAGTTAAAAGTTTTTCGCAACATCGATTTCATACTAAAGACTTGGCCAAATTTTGATACTTTTTGGGTATTAAAGTGGCTAGGTCTAAGCATGGTATTAGGCTATTAGTTTTCTCTCAGAGGATGTGTGTATTTGATACGCTAGAAATTGTAGGTTTGTTAGGTGGTAGACCATTTGATATTTCTTTGGATCTGAATCAGAATCTTTTGGTGGATAGTGTTGTGCTATGTGAAAATCTTGGTAGAAGACAGAGATTATCGGCCTTGTGAGTCACTTTATGGGTATACCTAAAGTACAAGACTGTAATTGTGACGCCCCTAAAATCGGGGGTTCTTTTTCAATCGTTGACCAACTGTCAATCCGCGGAAGTACTCGTGATTGTTGCACAACTCGACATCACGTCAATAGTATTCCCTTAACCGGGATCATCACCCACACGTGTAACCCGTGTACATTTTACTATTTGACCTAGCCAAGGTCTAACATACCACAATTTAACTCATTTAATGCCCATTTATACCCTTGGGACCAAAGAATCCATAGTTCAAAAACATGGCAAAATAGTGTTAAAATTTTAGATTTTTAGAAGGCCTATCGGTAGGGCATACCGATAGGTGAGCTTATTGGAAAATTCTTACCGGTAGGGTTTGCCTACTGGAGAAAGTTGTACTGGTAGGCTTTGTCTAGTTTTGCCTGTTTCACCTGTTTTTTATTTTCAATTCATTTTAAAATTTATTATTTCCATCCAACCCATGTTTAATGAATATTTTCACATAAAACAAGGTCCATACCAATTCTATTACATTCATTTACATGTCAAACTAAATTTTTATAATAATTTACAAAAATTTTACAAAACTCAAAATAAAGCTACATTCTGGTTTTCTTTATCCTTGAGGCCCCGAGTGAGAGCCTTCTGCAAGTGTACCACCCGCACCTGGAATATTTTTTCGTATAGGGTGAGCCACGCCCAGTAGAGTATTTTCTACAGAGGCTACTCCCCAACCTAAGTGCATATGCAATGCTCACATGCAATATTTAGCAAACAATAGTCATTCCAACCAAGATTTAAGCAGTCTATATTGGAATCTAACATGTCATGCCATGATGTGAGATGATACCTGCTCATGTAACTCAATTCAAGCCCTCATCGGCTCCTACCACACAATGCAATGCCAATGTATGAAATATCCGTCATTAATGAATTACATCCAATGATCATTTTGAAATAAAGTCATGTGGTTATAAAACCAAGTCATTGTTGGATGTTACATATCGAATGATTATTTTATAAAACAAGTACACTTTTTCGGAATTTCACCTCAGGGGAGTGTATGAATCAGTATTTTATAAAATAAAATCCTTGTGTCTTTGTTGGGTAGTGGAGTTCTCGGAATCGCACCGCTGGTTCTACACACCATGACATTTTTCCGGAATTTCACCTCAGGAGAATGTCTGAACTAGGTAGCCGGGTCTTTCACCCGAGGGAGAGTCTAGCCCTACTTGCTATACCCGACACTAATTTTTCATGCAACCGTACGACTCAGTCTGATTTTCAATCCAAGTTTTTCGAGTCCACCCATCAACCACCAAGTATGGTGTTTGATTAAACCATGCACTCACCCATATCCACCCCTATGTCTCATACCCATGGTTGTAATGCTTTCGTACAAATACAATGTAATACACCATTGCAATATTAATGTCAAGCCCCATATGTAATGAATGTCATATGAGCAAATTTAACCACATATATACATGTTCTATGACCAATTATATCAAATGCATATAATTACCAAACTTCATCACAATTTTAATATATCAATAACCATCTATATAATAAGATAGTTAGGTATTTGAACTTATTGGGGCTATATTTTTCCTCCAAATTTCACACACCCATCACACACTTTCCCCCCCCCCCCCAAAAAAAAAAAAAGTCACAAACCTAACACAAATACTCCACAACACATAGCTACACATACTTCAATACACACTCACTATACACATACACTTCAGTTGTACACACACACTTCAATACATGCATAGTGTTATAGCTTAGTATACAGTGATTTCAGTCACAGGGTATCGCTAGTATATCAACATTTCATATCTAACAACCATTCACAAGTATGTTATCACATAATATATGCCAATAACACACTTGATTCACCAAGGCATAATTTA